CCCTGTGCATAGATTTTATTTGATATAAAATTGTTAAAATTTTGGTCTTGGCACCCTTTGTTCATGTAAGATCATTTGATTTTTGTAAAACGTTTATCGCGAACTTTGCCTAGAGACTTATGCCAGAAGGTGGTGGCTCATGGGCCAATCTGGTAGAAGAATTAATCTTTTTGAGTATATCATCCGAGTATTCTTGGTGCTGCAAGTCGGAGATCCGCTTGTGTCTAGCATTGTCCTTGTGATACTCCGTGGAGGGTGGGGAGCTCAGATGATGAACCATTAAAAACTAACTATGGCATATGAAACCCCCTTAAAAAAACAAAACGTCCACTTGACACTGATCCAGATGTTAACGTCCATTGATTAGTGGCCACGCTTCTTTGTGATGGAGACACAAGATAACACCAGATTGAAGTTAAATCCTTTTGCTGTACAAAAAGGCATACAAGGCATAGCCGGTGATGTAAAAAGCATCAAACGTTTACGTTCAGGGGCACTGTTTATTGAGTGCAGCAAAAGGCAACAGGCAACTAACCTGATGAGTACTGAAACGTTTGTCGGCATTCCGGTTTCGATCTCTCCTCACAGAACACTTAATACCAGCATAGGAATCGTAAGAGACTGAGATCGATTGTTCACCGACATGTCTGAACTTGATATTGTTTCAGAAATGAAAGATCAAGGGGTCTTATATGTAAAGCGTTTTACAACACATAAAAAACAGGAAACCATTTCAACAAACACGTATCTGTTTTCATTTTCTTCTCCAACTGCTCCAAGATCACTAAAGGCAGGGTACTGTAACATTAATGTCGACACCTACATACCAAACGCACTGAGAGGTTTTAAATGCCAAAAGTTTGGTCATGGTGTTAGTACTTGCACATTGTCTGTTGTGTGTGCTCACTGTAGTGAGAAGTGACACATACAACAGAAGATTGTGTCAGTAACTTTAAGAAGTGTACCAATTGTGGAGGTGATCACTCATCATTTTCAAAAGACTGTCCCATTTGGAAACAGCAGATGGAGATAAATAAGATCAAGTTTACTCAAAAAATCAGTTCTTCTGATGCCAAAAAGCTTGTCTTGAGATCGGAAATTAAGGAAACTTATGCTTCCAAAGCCAAAACATCTTCAGAAACAACACCAAGAATAACTAAATCATCTGTAAGCTGTCAGACGAACTTGACTTGGATCAAAACAGTTTCTCCTAAGATTTTGTCACCTGCAATATCTACACAAACTGCAGAACCACTTCCTGGTACGCCCCAAATCCAATCAGAACCATCTTATGACCATGACACATCTTCTCAGTCAACTCAAAGGTCTCAATCAACGTCAAACGTTCAACAAATCGTTAAAAACAAAGGCAAACCGAAGCCAGATTCTTTGAAGAAACAAAGTGGCAGAGCCCCCAAAATCAAATTATTTAATAAATATGGATCACATGAGGACATGGACGTGTCTGAAAACGTCCATTCTAGGGCACAAAGCTTGTTACCCTCGAAAACGGTGCTGGGTAGTTCCCCAATTAATCTGCCTCCAGACAAAAGATAGGTTTATCTAACAATATCTGTGCAGTGGAACTGTAGAGGACTCCAGACAAATTTTTTATGAAATACAGCTAATAATCCAGGATTTAACACCATCAGCTTTCTGTCTGCAAGAGACGTATCTGAAACAGACAGATAATTTTAACTTACGTCAGTTTGAAACGTATCATTATTTTTCCCCTCCAGGTGATAGAGCCACTGGAGTTTCTACTATCCTTATACGACAGGATGTTATTCACAGCCTTGTTACACTTAACACTAATCTCCAAGCTGTTGCAGTGCGACTTACTCTGGGTGTAGCATTTACGTTATGCTCTCTGTATATTATGCCTTCATCGAACCTTCAGCTGACTGATCTTCAATCACTCTATGATCGACTCCCAAAGCCATGTGTTATTATGGGTGACCTAAACGGTCACAACCCACTCTGGGGCAGTACTAACTCTAATACTAAAGGCAAAATACTGGAAGATTTCATTTCCAATATTGACCTGTGCATATTTATTGATGATTCAAGCACCTATCTGCATCCTGCAACTGGCACTTATTCTTCTCTGGATTTGTCTCTTGCAGATTCTAACCTCCTGAATGAATTTGTTTGGTCTGTTCATAATGACCTTTGTGGAAGTGACCACTTCCCAACTATCCTTTCAGAAATAACTTTTCGAAGGCTAACTGGTCTTTATATCAAACTATATGTAAATCAAAACTGCGACCTGAATATTTCAGTGATATAACTGATCCCATTTACACTTTTGCTGACGTTTTAAAGCAAATAGCTGATGAGTGTATACCAAAGTCCTCTACATGTACGAAAACCATGGTTTAATACAGATTGTAGACAAGCCAGAAAAGCGAGGAAAAAGGCAGAGCGTTATTTCCGCCATCAGCCAACTGTGTATAACTTAAATATATATATAAAATACTCAATGCAAAGGCGCGTCATACCTTTAAACAAAACAAACGACAATCTTGGAGAAATTATGTCTCAAAAATTAATTCACGCACACCAATGTCTAAGGTATGGAACATGGTTCAAAGAATAAAAGGCCAAGGTTCAAAATCTGCTGTTCACCATCTTAAAGATGGTGATAATTTAATTACTGACAAGCCTAAAATTGCACATAAAATTGGCGAAACTCTTGCCAAAACTTCATCATCGGCAAATTATGTCCCTGAGTTTCAGAGATATCAGAAACAACAGGAAAAGACAAAACTTAATTTCGAATCAAATAACGGTGAAGATTATAATGAAGTGTTTTCATTAAATCAGCTACATACTGCTCTTGAGCAAGCTCATGACACTGCAGCGGGTGATGATAATATACATTACCAGCTACTGGAACACCTACCTGAACCATGTCTGATGACACTTTTAGATATATTTGACCAAATATGGACGTCTGGAGCATTTCCTCCTTCGTGGCGTAATGCCATTGTAGTCCCAATACCAAAACTTGGCAGGGATCATATAGATCCGTTTAATTACAGACCGATATCTCTAACTAGCTGTGTCTGTCAAACCATGGAACGTATGGTGAATAATAGATTAACTTGGTATCTTGAAACCAATAACCTTATGACAAACATTAAATGTGGTTTCAGGAAAAATCGTAGTACTATTGATCATTTGGTACATTTAGAATCCTTTGTTAAAAATGCTATGGTAAATAAACCTAACATGCTGTGTTGCTTATGAGAAAGCTTATGATAGGACCTGGAAGCATGGCATTTTGAAGGATTTACATGATTTTGGTTTGAGAGGCCATTTGCCTCTTTATATCACAGTTTTTAAAAGACAGGCAATTTCAAGTCCGAATGGGTTCAACCCTGTCTGATCATTATAATCAGGATCAGGGTGTCCCACAAGGCAGTATTTTGTGTGTCACACTGTTTAGCATCAAGATCAATAGTTAATCAACGGTTTTAAATGATTCAGTTGATGGATCGTTATTTGTGGATGACTTCAATATTTCTTGTTGTCGTAAAAATATGCATACTATTGAACGGCAACTGCAGTTATGTTTAAACAAAATAAATAAATGGTGTCTTGAAAACGGCTTTACATTTTCTAAATCAAAAACTTAATTGTATACATTTTTGTAGAAAATATAAGCCTAATAAGAACCCAGAACTATCTTTAAATGGCGCTCCCATCAAAGTTGTAAAGGAGGCCAAATTCTTGGGTCTAATTTTCGATTCCCATTTAACATTCCTGCCACATATTAAATCCCTTAAAGCTAAATGCCTAAAGGCACTCGATTTGTTAAAGGTTGCCTCAAATTCAAAGTGGGGAGGGGATCAAACTACCCTCCTTCACTTATATAGATCATTGGTGCGATCTAACCTTGATTATGGCTCGATCGTATATGGCGGAGGCTGCAAAAGCAACCTTAAACTACTTGATTCTGTTCACCACTAAGGTCTCAGACTTTGTCTTGGATCATTTAGAACTTCTCCAGTTGATAGTCTCTACGTCGAGGCAGATGAGCCTTCTCTTACCCAACGCAGTATAAAATTATCTTTACAATATATTACCAAACTATATTCTAACGAATCTAACCCTGCATTTAACTGTGTCTTCAATCCTCTTTATGAGGATTTGTATAACAAAAAGCCTCATCTTGTTCTGCCTCTTGGACACAGAATTAAACTATTCATTGCTGCTGCCAGAATTGAGCTGGAGAATATATCTCCTTCTCGTCTTCTTTCTTCTCCTCCTTGGCAATTGGTGAGGCCAGACGTTGACTTAACTTTAACCACATTTAAAAAATCCGAAACTAATGATTTACAGTATAAACAAGAATTTAGTCAATTAAGTAATAAATATAATACATATAAATCCTTATTTACAGATGGATCCAAGGATGTTGGCGCGGGGGCTTATGCCACTGTCATTGGATCCAGAACACTATCTTCTTGACAACCAAATAATAGCTCTATTTTCACAGCAGAAGCTAACGCCAAATTAACAGCTCTTAAATATATAATGGTCATATTTTGCAGTGATTGCAACGTAAAGCAGAGATTCGCGTTCTGGCCGAGGAAAGTTAAATACTATTGAGGATCATATCTCCACAGCCCTATCCAATAGTAAGGTATCTAGGAAAAAGTTTAGGCTAGTGCTGTCTGAACTCGATAATTCCAAAGGAGGAAACAAGAGATAAGAACCAAGTCTCGTAAGACAAGTGATATCAGCAAAAAGCAGAAAAAACCCCTCATAGAGCGACAAAAGCCCGGCAAGAAAAAGGCATAAATGTAAAAAAATATCAGGGCACATCAAACGATAGTCGACGCAGTTTTCCATATTTTCCAACCATCGGTGGGGCATTATTTGACGTAAATAATGCCATAGGAGGAAGTGATGCCGTACCACCATCACATATACTACTATATACAGAGAAAAACATCAACCGCAATAAAAGTTGTCATCGTCACGTGTTACAGCTGAGAGACTACACGACTTCACATTGGAGGTCTTTAGAAAGAACCCGGCCACCTCAACAGGCGCTAGGAGTGCGCTGTGTGGAACCTACAATGGTACGGTCACAGAACCAGGAAAGACTGTCAGTGTAGAATGCATCAGATCTGTTAGAGGGCGATATGTCCGACTGAGGGGGACAAAGGACGGTGAAGGTGACCTCCTTCAATTCTGTGAGGTCAAAGTTTTCGGATCCATTATTGCTGATGGTAAGAAAAGGTTTAACTTATGAGGCAAACTGTCGTTTATGTTCACGTGGACGTTCTATAGCTCTGCGAAAACAGAGATATCAAACACTGGTTACAAGTGCATTTGTTTGCCATGTATGTATATAATGGCAACCCAAGACAATAATCAGTCTCTATAATATGCCACAAGAGATCACACGTGGCGTTAAAGAGACAAGTTAGATGTGTCAATTACATGAATGAATCACTGAAAATGAGCGATGACATCTGGTAGGCATGTGTAAGCTCAGTCAGTAATACTTGCCACTCAGACATACACTTGACCATGAAGATTCACACACTGCCCCTTCAAAAGATGTCTTCTTATTTACCTACAAGAGAGTTAACGATGTTGTTTTGTGATATTTTATATTTGGTACACAATGCAGGCGAGTCTAACCTGGCTAGAGGCAAGCCAGCAACAGCGAGCTCTGTGTATGGGCCACATCCTGAAGTTGCTACAGACGGCCTCCCTTACACTGACTGGAAACGTGGCAGTTGTTTTACTGTGGCAGAAGGAGACGATCATCCCTGGTGGCAAGTCGATCTTGAAGCTTATTCTGAGGTGTTTGAGGTTGCCGTGACAAGCAGGGGTGACTGTTGTCGTGAGTATAATGTTACAGTTCAGTAACGATGTGCATTAAACTATACTCAATCAAGTAAAACCTCGACACCTGTTAACTGAATCCTACAATAGAAGTAGGTGAGTATAATTACTGTCCATGGGGATGCATACTTCCTGTCTGAATGTTCTACCCAAACACTATATGTGAGTTTTATCCAAAAGGACGTCCAACATTTTATTTATTGTTTTCTCAGTGCCATTCAGATGACAGCTGTTTTCCTTTATATACAAAGTTCCTGAACCTTTAAAGATAGATATGTAATTTGTTGTGTGTTCAGCGTGTCTATTAAGAAATATCGCATGGATCAAGAAATAAAGTGTTTACTTAAGTTTGCCCTGGAATGGTTGTGTACAGCTTTGAAGAATCAAATATTGTGATATCACTGATCCCGGCATGCTGCTAAAATCGTAACATCTAAAGCCAATTTTTTCACATGCAGTTCAATACTATCTACCACTATAACGAACGTCCTTCCTTGATAAGAACCATGGAATCCAGTACGAAAACGGGATGAACATGTTTTCAAGTTTTTGACTCAAGCCAAAAGATGATAGCCCTGATGAAGGTGGGTTGGGCAGATTTCATCCCCAGTTAACATGCAAGCAAACAATTTGTGTAATGATGTTTAAATATAATAGTTATGTAATTTCAGACTTTGTCGGGGGAAATAATTATAACCTTTCATGCAGAGCAGCTGGACTTTTAGTGACAGCTGGCAAGGACCAAATGAGATTCTTCCAATTCTGCTCGTGTCATAAAATACGATTTCGTCACGTGTTACAGCTGAGAGACTACACGACTTCACATTGGAGGTCTTTAGAAAGAACCCGGCCACCTCAACAGGCGCTAGGAGTGCGCTGTGTGGAACCTACAATGGTACAGTCACAGAACCAGGAAAGACTGTCAGTGTAGAATGCATCAGATCTGTTAGAGGGCGATATGTCCGACTGATGGGGACAAAGGACGGTGAAGGTGACCTCCTTCAATTCTGTGAGGTCAAAGTTTTCGGATTCATTATTGCTGATGGTAAGAAGAGCTTTAACTTATGAGGCAAACTGTCGTTTATGTTCACGTGGACGTTCCTATAGCTCTGCGAAAACAGAGATATCAAACACTGGTTACAAGTGCATTTGTTTGCCATGTATGTATATAATGGCAACCCCAGACAATAATCAGTCTCTATAATATGCCACAAGAGATCACACGTGTTGTTAAAGAGACAAGTTAGATGTGTCAATTACATGAATGAATCACTGAAAATGAGCGATGACATCTGGTAGGCATGTGTAAGCTCAGTCAGTAATACTTGCCACTCAGACATACACTTGACCATGAAGATTCACACACTGCCCCTTCAAAAGATGTCTTCTTATTTACCTACAAGAGAGTTAACGATGTTGTTTTGTGATATTTTATATTTGGTACACAATGCAGGCGAGTCTAACCTGGCTAGAGGCAAGCCAGCAACAGCGAGCTCTGTGTATGGGCCACTGCCTAGAGTTGCTACAGACGGTCTCCCCAACACTGATTGGGGATCTGGCAGTTGTTTTGCTGTGGCAGAAGGAGACGATCATCCCTGGTGGCAAGTCGATCTTGAAGCTTATTCTGAGGTGTTTGAGGTTGCCGTGACAAGCAGGGGTGACTGTTGTCGTGAGTATAATGTTACGTCATACTCAACTAATCTAAAACCTCGACACCTTGAAATTGTGTGCATTAGTATGTAAATAGATGTGTATCATACTTCTCAACTCTTGCGTTCCTAACAAATTGTGCGTCAGAACTGCAGTATTGGACGTAGCGTTGTGATGTTGAAATGTCAGCCCAGTACCATGTAGCTTCTGGAATGGCTGAGGAACAGGTACCCGGGTCATCAGACTGTGTATTTACTGAAGATTACTGGCCATGTTCACCCCTGCATGTTGGTGTAGTGTTTATGGCACATCATGGGAAACTAACAGTGTTATACCCTCGTAATTATTGCCAATAATGTTGTTGATTATATAGATCTACTTTCATTAGTTCACTGAGCAATCTGTAAATGCCATGATCTTAGTAAATTCCCCTGTGTCTGTCATGTACTTCCATTCCAAATGCCCACAAAGTATTTCATGGCTCCTTAAAGGAGACATGCAGTGCCACTAAACTGACATGTCTTAGTTCAACGAATGTGACAATATTTGAAATCGTCCTTTGCTACAGCTGAGAGACTACACAACTTCACACTGGAGGTCTTCACCAAACCAGGCGCCAGGGGTGCACTGTGTGGATCCTACCATGGTGCGGTCGCAGAACCAGGAAAGACTGTCACTGTAAAATGTACCCGACCTGTTCAAGGGCGGTATGTCCGATTGAGTGGAAAAAGAACGGTGAGGGTGACCTCCTTGAGTTTTGTGAGGTCAAGGTGTTCGGTTATGCGTTTTAATCAAGGCTTATAAAAGCATGCGGACATATAGTGTTTTGTTGTATATGTTCTAGGGTTCTACTCTCCACGATGATGGTAGTAATGGTATCCCAATTCTCCAGCTACAAGATGAGGTGAAAAGGGGTTTAGCGTTGTACTAGCCCAGATTTAAAGGTCACATGCAACAAAAAAATCAAACATAATTAAAACACAAGTATCACTTATTCATGACATATAATATACATTGCTGATTATAAAACAACATATCAACAAAATTATAAGCGTACAATCGCAAATCAAAAGTGCAATATTTTGTACTTGGGTTTACTTCCCTCGAAACGAAGCACCCGGGATACCGAACCCAGTCAGAGCGGATGGGTGCCGATGACTTCACGGCTCATTGTGTGTGTGTATATAGAGATGTTGGGTTTTGTAAATGCATGCTCATTTTTTGTGTATAACCTTTTGCAATCAACAGACATTATAACATGTCATGTGTACAAGTATCACACCTGTCTGTCTGTGTAATTACATAATGTGACTGAAACCGAACTAGGGCCATAAATCAATGCATTTTGTTTATGGTGTATAGCCTGATAGGTGTTAAGTTCAAATTGCATGTGGTCAGTGATCGAAGTTGTGTATTGAATATCGCCATGAGCAGAGAGGCAGGCAAACACATAGGTGTCAATAAAACAGACATTGAGTTTTGTCTGTGACGACGACATGTCTATATCACAGTTAGAAATTCTGTCAACGCTAAATAATGACATTGCTTTTAAGTATCGAACTGAAAATGACTCGGTAAGAAGTACGTGCGGTGAAATAGTCAAATGAAATTATATAAACAGTTAAATCGGTAATCTACTGTCATAACATATAAAAGCTGGCGTCTGAGAAATAACTTATGAAAAGCCCGCGCCTGGGAAATATAAATAAAAACATTAGAAACAATAGCTCACACCAAAGTCTCCCGACTCCGAGTACTCACCGCCAGGAAAGGTTTTCGTCTTGAAATGTCGAATGCCTCACTGGTTGACACATAGCTGAGTAGATCTAGATCATACAAGGTTCTTTTATGTAACGAGTAGATTATTTACTATTTATTTGTGTAACCAGGATTAGACTACTCCTGCTCACGATCTTATAATCCGGGCATGAATCCTGTTTCAAGCTGGCGGACCTATTCAATGCACATGCGTTAGAGCGCAGCGCAGCATAGCTGTTGAAACCACTTTTACCCCAAGCGCTGGGGAAAATTAGTGAATCGTTTGAACTCTGATTTTGCGCGGGCTTTTTCATCGCGTTATTTTTCAGCTTTATAAGTTGAATTTGCATTTTTTGATGATTTGTTTCGCTAAGTCCATACCGAAAGGTATCATAATCTGCAAAGTTGTGTTTTACGTTGCATGTGACCTTTGAGCTGATTTTATAGTTCTAGCTCACTGAACTACCATGCCGCGGTTAAGCATGAATACCCCACTCAGACACATTATACTGACTCCGAGCCGATCAGTCTTTGTTATAACCATAAGTGCCGAGCGCCAGACAGGGACCAAAAAGTACCATATTTAAAGGTCTTTTCGAATGACGCAGTCGGGGATCGAACCCGCGACTTTCCTCTCTCCGGTCACCTATATTCCGATTATGTTACCCCACGAGGCAAAGTGAAGAAAATGCAGAGGTTGTTGAAAGACCGTTTTATGTCTTCATTTCTTTCCAAAATTTACATCATGGTGAAAAGACCAATAAGTTATGTGTTACAAGTCTTACGTAAAAGTTAAAAGAATTATTTTCACTTATTAGGTTTCGCGTGTTTACTATTGGTCAAGTTAGTTAATAAATTGTAATTCCGTGTGTGAAATTATCGAAACCAACCCAGTCAAATGGCTAACCAAATGAATATATTATCGGGTAAAACATTACTTTAGACATTATCTGTGCCCTGTACGTAAATTGTAAATCATTATCACTAGATACCCATAAATGCTATTTATTGTTCAAACGATTCGACAATTCAATAACTTCACAGACTGCTATATCATTTAGCTGGAACATTCCTGAGTTTGGCATTAAAAACAAACTAACAATTCCATGTCGATCTTCACATGTGAGATGACAGAGGCAATCGATTGCCCGTTTTACATACAGGACACTGTCAGAATGGATTATTCCGGTTGCTATTGTAGCTTCCAGATTAACCGCATCTCAGTCTCAACACAGTGACGAGCACCACTGACGTCTACTAGATCTCAAAATAAACAGTGTTACGACACTGTTTCACCTTTTCGCAGAAGGAACGTTTGAACGAAGACATTTTCTTTGCGAATCAAAGTTAAAAACTGACCAATACGGTAAATAATAATGAACATTATTATTATCATGCAAATCAAATTCGCAGTGAAAACTGATCACACTCAACCAAATCTTGATTATGCACCGGCGATAATGTTGTCTTTGCCTTCAACATGCTTGAAGTTTAAAATGCAGTTTCAGCACAGAATTGTAGTTTTCTTTTTCATTTAATGAAGAAAAGCCTTGGTTAGTAATTAAAGCAGTCACAAAGAACAATTTAAATTGTTGTAATGCTGAGACTAATAGACCAAGAGTTTCTCTCTAAAAGGTGAAATAATGTCTATGAGAATATGTTCAAAATTTCATGAATAATAACTAACAGGATGTACAAAGCCTGATGCATCGTCTTACAACAGGGAAGCACCCGCTCCAACGTCACCAGCACCTAGCGAAAATCTGAAAGTTTTTTTTCAAATTTTGGTGCTTGGAGAAAAAGGACATTCATGAGAATGGATGAACCTTTCACAAAGGTAGTCTGACAAATGGTGTTCCAAACAATTCTTATTCTAATGTCAAGGATATTGAACATTTTGACAACCTGTTCGGTAGTAACCAATCTCATTAGTTTCTTTATATTGGAATTTTGAAATAGTTTCCACTTGTGGGTTAGATCGATAACGTGCGTGCTGTTGATTAGGTGATTCTGAGCGTGTGGGTACGAATCCCGGAAGGGACTCAAACGTAACAAAAGTACTAGAATCTGTACTTCAGGTGTCAAGGGTAACTGGTACAACTCCAATTTCATTTCTTGACCAAAATGCTGAAGGCAATCGATTCTCATCACGTTTTCGACAGCTCGTTTAGGGCACACTGGTCATATATACTAGCCACATACAGAAACTGTGCACACAGAAAATGCCTTCAGAATTGGAATACAACACAGCAAAGACGAAATGATGTAGACACTTTATAAGCTGAAGTATCGGACCACAAGAAATTGTCAAAAGAACATGAACAATATCCGTAACGATGACGTCAGAAGTTCAAATCGAGTAGGGGGTCACATGACGAAGTCACAAAATCAATAACGGTATGACCACCATGTGCGTGAAGCACAGCAGTGCAACGACGACGCATAGAGGCTACCAAATGAGCATTGGAGGCCTGGGAAATGGTCTGGGGCGTGGTCACTGCTGTCTGGAACCTGTATCTGAGATGAGTCACCCGAATCCACCTGTCCTGTCTTGGCGTCGTTACGTCGGGGAACGCCCAGAACGTGGGTGGTCGGCGACGTCATTACTGTTTCGATAACGCGTGACCCATGCAGATATGGTGTTACGATGGCAATGGAAATGTGCTGCCACCTGTTGTTGGCTCATGCCTGCTCGAACCATTCCAATGGCTTCATGACGTTGAGCAGATGTTAATCTTGGCATGATGTGCATGTGACTTCTCATGTGGATTTGTGAACGTTTAAATGACCAAAGATGAAGCTTTCGACAGTGACAGCGAAATTTCAGAGTTTCACATGTTGTGTGCAGCTGTACGGGCTGCGCATGCAGTAACACATTGCAAGGCCATACGCCACCGTCAATGACGTCGTCGCCCGGCACGTGCATGAGCGTTTGATTGTCTCCAATACTTGCTATTTTTACAAATGTATTTATGTATTTACGTACCAGGCAGCAGCTGGTTATGGTAGAAGTGTGTATAAAATTCCTTTAAAATTTTTTTGCAGCCAGAGTGGTGGGAAAGAGACTAATACCGATCATAAAGGGTTATGGGATTTTTGGGACATATTTGTGAGGTTTTAGAGGATTGAGAGTACTGTTTAAGGGTCATTTTCTTTGGAAATGATATTGATAGACGCTAGAAATTACCCTAAGTCATTCTGGAGAATTGTGGGGCAAATAGTCCGGATGCAGATCTAACACTAAGTCGGTCAAACATGCGGATTGAGGACGATGGAAGTATAGCAGATCCGGTATTCATATTCTCAGTTGAGAATGATTTTCCAAATATTCTCAACAGTTCAAATAACAAATTAATTGAGTAAAAATATATCACCTGTTTCAGATGGTATTGTTGCTGAAACTAATAGATTATGTCTACCACCAAGGTTTAAAGCTTTGTCTTAGATCCTTTAGAACTTCTGTTGATAAAAATTCTTCAAGGCCTTTACCTGAAGGAGGGGCAAGAACTAGCCAGAAACGTTGTGAAAAGTAAACCAAGAAGTTGTTATCCATAAGATTTGTCTTGTATTCTGTTTGTAGTTTCCAAATACTTTGCTCAGTTCTTAACAAGTCTATACCAATTAAAATTCAACTTCAAAGTCACATGTCATGCACTTCTCCAACAAAAATGCCAATACCCTCAACACAATGGGGAACCGATGACATGTAAGCCGCCTAATCCACTCAGCCACCAGAGACTTCCACAAAATGCAAGTCGGACAACTGGTAGTCTAGACGGCGGACTTTGTGTCACCCTCTGATAAATGTAAATTGGCACCGTTCCCACGGCCGAAAACTATGATTACACAATGTCATTTAGAAGTGGTCAAATGTAACTTATGTTATATTTGGGATTACACTTTCTTAGTAAAGTACAGTTTCTAAAGTACCTTTGTTGGGTTGAGTACCACCTGGGATTCGAACTCACACCCTCAGAATCAGGCATCTAATCGCCAACACACAAAGTCTTGTGGTGAAAGAATTACGGTCATGTCATGTCCTGCTTGACTGTGTTGATTTCTCCATCATAGAAGAATAACTATTTCTAAAGTTTCTTCCGTGAAGGATCTTTTTAACGTAAGTTCATTTTAATACTTAGAGTCTTGGTTTTTAAAAAGAAATTGAATTATTGCAGAAAATTTTGATTGATAATGTACATAGACACATGGCATTTTATAATCGGTAGAATTAGCAACCGAGATTGTTAGTGGCTGTATTCTCGAAGGGATAAGAAGTGTGTAACATTATTGTCCTCCTGAGTACGTACGTAAGTCCCCAACGTTCAAGGTCAATTTTTGGTCCTACCGAACTTTTAATCGTAGTATTTTTATGTTTTAAATGATGGCTAAAATTTAGTACAGTCGCCAGGGATTGAAGTGACGGTGTAAATCCAGCTAGGGTCCATGTAGATAGCAAAAGCACTTCAAGTCCCCATGGTCCCAAGTATGGTGATCAACTTTCAGTTGCTGGCGATACTCAGCCGGGTTTCTTAAATATTGTGTTGTCCTGATTGCTATCAAATTTAGAGATAAATGCCAGTTTTAATTCTTTGTTTGAGTGATATTCTATTTATTTTTACTATCCATCGTCGACAGGTTTTTAAAATTAACTCCATTTATCATGAATTTATACTAGTTTTAGTCACGATGAGACTAAAATACTGCCGATATGACTATAAACTTAATCTCACTCACTCACTCACCTCTATATTGGGTCTCCAGAGTGAGCATTGGTAGCAGTCTTCACTGCCGACTTCATGCAACAAAGATCGACCCAGAGCGATATGTGAGTGAGTGAGTATGGTTTTACGCCACTTTTAGTAATATTCCCATACTGCCAGATCAAAACAACACATGTTTCCTCGAGGATCTATGTTGTATTATTATTTATTTGTTACAAACACTGAGAGTAACTTACCTCCCTTGGGTTGATACCATGTTTACAGAAACAATACCATTCTCTACAGCAGCAAGGGTAATGCCGTCAACATGATACATTGGATAACACTTGCTGCTATCTATGTGAAGTTTGGCATTATAGGAAATAGTTTGAGTTTGAGTTTAGCTTTCCACCACATTCAGCAATATTCAGCTATATGGTGGCAATCTGTAAATAATCGAGAGTCTGGACCAGACAATCAAGTGATCAACAGCATAAACATCAATCTACGCAACTGGGATACCGATGGCATGTGTCAACCAAGTCCGCGAGTCTGACCACCCGATCCCATCTTACGACGAGCATGGGTTACTGAAGATCACTTCTAACCCGGATCTTCACGGGTGTCTAGGAAGCAGGATGAATGATACCCTAATATATTGTTTAACGCCGGAACACTCTTGTTATTGAATATGCGAGTAGATACGTCCCCGACTGTTACGTATTGTTACAGTCCCCGTCGTCGTAGATCACGTCGTCAACTCGTGTGAAGCAAATGTCAACACAGATACACACCTTGACTGGCGTATAGAAAATATTTTGTGATTATTATGCAGCAACAACATATGAAATAGAAGCGGCAAAACCCTGTACACGTCCATAAGATATATCTGCTAAAAACAGAGTCGATTGTACAGTTGTGACTATATCTGAGTATACATCTGTTTCCAGCAGTATCACAGCTATAAAGATGATGCTTGTCAGAATAGATCGGAAGTCAAGACCAGACAATCCAGTGATTGTAACGTTGCGATATGATGACAGAGCATGTGTTTATGACTCACCATGAAATAGTGACGATACCAGGTGTTCGCGAAAAGGTGAGCGTATCCTGCCCCACCTGTGCCACCCGTTCATGTAAACATATAGAAAGTCTAGTCATTTGTTCATCTGAAATAATTCAGAGGTGAGTATGAGTTTAGTTTTACGCCGCACTCAGTAATATTTCAGCCATATGGCGGCGGTCTGTAAATAATCGTGTCTGGGCTTGGCAAACCAGTGATCAACAGCATGAGCATCGATCTGCGCAATTGGGAACCGATGACATGCGTCAACCAAGTCAGCAAGCCAGATTACTGAAGGTACATTCTAACCCGGACCTTTACGGGTCTGAAATAATTCGAGAACGTATGGTATAAGTCAACACACGAAATTGCATCAGACATATTTTTGTCACTGATGCATCAAATTCGGAAATTCCTCCACATGTCTACCCTAAAACTTCTTGAATGCTTTCCTGAGGCCTTGAATATTGTAATCTTGATCAATCAACTTGTGAGCAAAAGTGGTATAACGCTCTTTGAAATCCCTGATAACAAGAGCACGCTCGATTTTACCTCAAAGTTGAAAGTTGAAATCATCCCTTTGTCATACAGCCTTGTGGAGAGATTTCATGTTCAGGTGGGTAAATCAGTGGCTGGCAATTGACTATTTCATGGTCATTGAACGATATTAGATCATCGATATACCGGAAGCTTAAGGTAAACTTCTTGGTCAAATTATCTTGTTTTGATTTTGCCAATCAATCAGAAATTCCGAAGTATAAAGAAACAGATCTGCAAAACTCTCCGTCTGTTTGTTAAATCGAAATTCACGAGATTTACAGCCCGCTGATGTCATGTTTATAACATAACACAAATATACATCATGAAAATGTATATTTTGGTTTTAAATTTAAAAAATAAATGTTTGTTTACGTCACTGTAACAATTCCTGTAACAAGCATATCCCAGATAAAACCAACAGTCACCAGGTACATCGTTTACATATGACTGAATAGCCACTCTTTGTTGAACAATAAGCTTTTCTTTGTTCGTATTCATTGAAAATAGTACCTGTTGGTCTGTACAGCTGAGGACATGTCCAGATAGCGTTGGACGGCCTGTCGATAATCTGCTATAAACAAAGGCAATGTGTCTTGAGATCCGAAGATAAACCCACCGCCAATCCACATGGTTTCCTCTTGAAGAAGATAGTCGGGGGCATGTCATGTTCGCGTCGTAGACTTGGTTCATGGCCGCGAGATTCGTTAAAATTTGGGGGTTTACTATAACAAACTCTTTCCTCCGTTCAGTGATCAGTCGGAAATAACCGACATCGATCCAGGTGTAATAAGTGGTATTGAAATGATTACTTTTAACTGCTTGTTGTGTCAATTCATATTTGGCGTGTTGAGCATGTGTGTATTCAGGCACGACTGTGTTCGGGTGGAACTTTGGGTATCCTGGCATTGAATAGATTTGCGATCTTCTCTACCCATCCGAAAGACCATAGCTTTTCTCTGTCCACCAGAACTATTTTCGTTGTACCTTCCTTACCGGCTCTCATCTGGAGAAACTGTTCAGCAATGTCTACCGAGTCTGTGTAAACGATGAAAGGATTTCGCAGATGTGTGAACACTACTGACCACGACAAGTACAATTTAGAATTAAATATCCTTCCAGTGCCTTTCTGGAATGGCCCCCAGATTGAAAAGGCGGTGACTACAGAGACGTCAGGCTGCGTTCTATTGTGTATGTCCGGGGTTTCACCTGCGGATCTGCATGGGGATACAGGGCGGCCTCTGAAACAGTCAGATATTTAAATAGTAGACCCACACGAAATATTTACGAACAAAATTAAAACCCATCTGAGCATATAATGAAAACGCCCCAATGTTCCTACAGCTTAGGAATGCTGTAACCTATTCCTGTAGAGTTGTATGAAGGACACAGGTGTAACCCTCACAGTGCTGTGTGCATGCATTACCTCCAACCACGATGTTCCACCATGGACAGAACACGTGCGGGGGGATGTTTAAGTTGAATTTTTGATGACGTTCATCAGCTGGTGATGCATCACGTATGCAAATTCCATGATGAGAGAAGTGGCGTTTTAGGAAAATGTACACAGTTGAGTCGCTGTCTTCAGAATGTACCTCACGGGGGCGTGGATCCGGAATACCTGGATGATGTCTCGACACCGATCAACTTGAGTTTGGCGTGGGTATATTTGGCGGTTGTCTGAGAAAACACAATTATAAGTACTGGGATATTAAAGTGGTTATTCGTGCCGTTAGAAGTGCATCAGAATGGACTAGTGAACACTACAGTCTACAAGGCACCAATAATATGACACAGCCTCATTCATAATCAAATAACTGCTAACTTAATGACCGAAACTAGAAGATGAGACTCTTTATTCAAGGAAGCTCGATCAAATACTATACAGGTCAATTGTATTCGAAAATCGATTCACTATCTTTTCAATTCTGTGAAGCTCTTCGCAAACTCCCACTTTTATACATTGACCTATCAAATACCATTCAAGCTCGCAAGCTCAGTTAGATATTATTTTACTCAAGGTCAATGAAAGAAACCGATATCGAGACACGTAACTGAACCAGGCCACCAA